GCCTCCGTGGTCGCTCTTTGTGGGGAAAGTCCGGACCACTGACGGGTGCGGGGATGCTGAACGGAAAAGCCCAGGGGAGAAAATCATTCTGCCACTGGTCCCAGAAGTTGTGCCCGGTTCGAATGGTGAGTGTGTCAGTCGCATTGCTCAATTGCAACAACATGTCGACGTCGGGGTCTTTCCACTCTGCACCCGTGTAATCTTGTGACAATACGTTGGGTCTCACACTGGCTACGAAGGATTCGCCATTCAAAGCTGTGTCTGCGACTGACTCGGGCGTTGCATGCTTCTGCGGCAGCGGCTGGCTTACGTCTCCACTGGCACCAAAGAAATTCCTAGCATGGCTCGGACGAGCTGCTGTGGCCTTTTCATCGCTTTTGTCTGATGTGGTTGCCTGAGCGCTGCTCTGGCTTCTCACCTGCGGTGATGGGTTGTCGCCCGGCGAGGCATCCCGCTCATGCTTTGCATGCACTAATGGAAACTTGCCGTGGCTAGGTGTTGACACTGTAACTTGTTGCTCCTGTGACGAGGCCGAGTCTGCTATGACTTCAGCTGTCACCTGAGGGCTGAGCTGGGACACGATCTTTGGGGATGCAGTTTTCACACGAGAAGGCTTGAAATGTTGCACCTCAGACGCTGCCTGAGACGAGCTCTGGCCGCTCATCGTTGGAGAGTCAGTCTCGTTATTTGAAATGGTTGGTTCTGAGTTCACATTCGCTGCTGCCTGAGCGCTGCTCTGGCGTCGCGTGCAGGGGTATGCGCCTTTTGATGGCACAGTAGGTGAAGGAGGTTGCTTCCAGTCGACTATGGGCCTTGTTTCTTCCACCCCATAGATCAAAGTCACACGCTGCGTCACTGCTGTTTTTGCCTCCTCTGCCGACAAATGCGAGGTACACATTGGATGTTGCATGTCGATGAGGTGATGCAAGAGTGCACTGACGACCCATGGTCGGATGCGTGCCCCTGCTACCCACTCGATGGCCTCATTGTATAACATACCCTTCACATTGACTTTTACAATAGCTTGGAGGACATGTGGCGGGTGAGGCAACCTTTCCCAAGAGGCGTTCTGCCGAGTCTCGGGGGCCAGTGCAGCAAGTACCTCTTCCCATGGAATGCTAAAGGAAGACACATTGCCTCGGATTGCTGTCCTGTGTTCTGGCCTATGCAAGTGTTCTTCTATCAAGTTGCCTCGGTCGGCCTCTAGGTAGTAATTGATGACGGAAGTCCAGACAGGAGAGGCAGCCGCCGCTTCTATCCAGCGCACTTTGTGGGTGTACAACAACTCTGTTGGATATCCAAACCAATTGTCGTTTGCAAGGGCTTCTGGCACTGCACAGGGGTTCTGTTTAGACATGTGTTCTAGGCAACTGCGACACAAGGGCAATTCGCACGACTCACACAGTTGCAGCGCACTGTCGGGGCAACGTTCACAGCGAAAATCCTCTGGGCAGCATATGAGTTGCATGCCGTCGCAGATGGTTTCCGGCAGGGTTCGAGTCCACTCCTGTGCTTCGAAGCGATTTGTCACAGCAGCCAGCGTACCATATTGCGTCATGTACCTTTCTAGGTTCCAATTTGCTTTGACCGCGTCTGGGGTCAGTGCATTGAACAAATGTTTGACAGAGATGTAGGCAATCTCCCCTCCTATGCCCCCAGGACTCACTCGGGCGCAACAGGCGCAAATCAATGCTTGGCAAGTGTTGTCGTCCAAATCCACCCGTAGTCGACGCAGTGTGCGCCGATCGACGCTCCAGCCAACTTGTGGGACCTGCCCACGTTCCCTTTCTAGCACTGCAGCTGTGTATGTTGAAGCCACAAGTTCACGAGGTATGTTCGTAAAGTGTTCAGCATGACACTCATCGAGGTGTGCCCACAAACACACCTCCCCGTTTCCACAGCACTGCAATGTAGTGTGTGCCCATGTTGTTGCTTTCATGTTCCACACCTTTTCCTTTGACCAGTGCGGGTGGCACGGTTGTGTGTCGGATGCCCACCCGCATCCCTCAAAGGCACAATGCACGGCTGGGTATACGAGACCACTATTAGGCTGCATGGTGGGGAATTCCGTCATCGCGGCTGGAGATGGCAGCAGAGGATGTTGTCGCAGTTGGAATGCTGTGCGTCGAATGCGTTCTTGGTCACGATCTTCGACAGTGACCCATGTCTTTGTCGCGTCCACGGCGACTTCTACTTCAGCGTCATCTGTGGTCTCGGACAGGTTTGAATCCCAGGAAAGCACGCTTTCAGAATCCACGTCGGTTGCTGCACCCTCCGACGCTTCTGCGTCGTCATGCCCTTCCCAGACACCAGTGGCTGCCTCTTTGTCGGCTTCAGTTGTGTCATGCACCTGCTGCGACCGATTTGGCTGCCGCGTTGTTGCATCCCATTCTGTCGCAGTGGTGCGGCTGGTCTGCTGCGATTGCCCGGCTGCCTCTGCTGTTGGCCGCTCTGCATCCCCTGCGGCATGGGTGTCGCACACTGCACTCGGATCTGCAACGTGCGCTGACTGACTCTGCGGCGACATGGGTGACACTTCCACTGGGTTTCGGAGGCTTTCTGCAGCAAGACACAACACTGCTTCTGCACTCTGTGTTCTCCATGTTTCCAACCATGGTGTTTCAGGGAATGGTTCGCGCAATGCTGCCGCGCGTTGCACGAGATCATAGTGCCCGGTGATGCCAGTGTTTCGGTGGAAAAGTTCTAAGACATTTGGATGTTCTTGCAACTTCTCTTGTGTTTCTGCATCGGTGATGTAGGCCATGTCCCGGATCCAAATGTTTTTGTTCTCTTCTTGGCTCCAAATGAGACAGTGAAAGTCAAAGGCTTGTGTCAGGGCCCACAATTCTACCACGGACCCATGGTGAATGGAATCTAACATCCGTGGCTTTTCCAAAACCGCCACCACTTTACTCCAAAGCACGATTTCGGCAGCTGTCAAACCTTCTGCTGCCTCCAACTGCTCTGCTTGCTGAAGGAACCCCAGGTGTAGGCCTGCTTCTCGGTCATCAAACGGCACACTGGCAATCGCAACCTCATCTGCTCTGGGTCCATTCTTTTGCTTACACATCCATTCTAAGGCTTGCAAGTATAACTTTGCAGCTTCGGATACCGACCACGACTGCCAACCGCGACAATGGCGAAGTACGGCATGGAAAAAACACCAACCGTCACCAGGGATTTTGATTAGCTCACACCCTATTCGGGTCTGCACACGGACGGCAATTTTCCGGTCCTCATCCTCCTCCACTTCTTTCTGGACACTCGGGTTGCTAGGTTGTGCTCGAAGCGAGGATGCGGCATCCACTACGTCTGCAACTCTAGCTTTCTTGCTAGCTACGTGATTGCTGCCGGCACTCGTGTCTATGCATTGGCTGGGTGTGGACTCTTCTGCTTGTCGTCTGTTGGCTTTCTTCATCGTGTTGCCATGCATTGCGCGCATCAACTGGTTTCTAAGTTTGCGAGAGGTTGACCATGCGTTTCTGACTGGTTGCACTGCTGCGATGTTTCCCTGGCAAACGCATTCCACACAGACCCAACTGGCTGGTGATAACAAGAAGATGGCTGCAATCAACATTTGCATTCTACTTCGTGGCGATCCTGGTTGCCGCCTTGCTTTCACCCGAGCGTTGCCCACCCGACGTGCTTTCCTGACCCACCCACTGCGCAGTCGTGCACTGGCTAGAGCACGTTGCGCTTGGCATGCAAAGACACAGGTGAAGAGATTTACTGCAAACACGAAATCTAGCTGCTTTGTGCTGGCACACAAGCATGCTGCGGTGACTGCCATGCCCCAGCTCAAAGATGTATATTTCCCCGGCAACCTCCGAGTCCAGTGTGTGTGCTTGCTGGCTCGGTTGCGCGACCCCTTGCCACACGCAGCCTGCACTGACTGCCGCCGCGCCCAACAATGCTTCTTGACTTGGGAGGCAAGCCAGAACACCATGCTCAGTGCTATGCAGCAGACGGCTACCTTGGTAGCATGCTCACGCAGTATGTCACTGGCTATGGCATCCCACTGTGTCATGGCTTTCCGCTTTGGGACAATCGTGCGTTCCGAATTCGTTGTCTGAGGTGGCGTGCTTCATTTCGTCCTTGCTACGTTGCTTGTACAAGCACACCTGCAAGTGTTCCACTCATTTTTTAGTTGTGCAATGCTCCTTTGCCGGGGTTTACTCTGTGCGTTGCATTTTCCCCGCTACTTCTTCTGTGTTTACCTTTATGTCTTTCTGCAGTGCTCCGGTTTTAGACTTCCTACGCCTACGTCTCCTACTTCCGTTCGTGGAGGGTGTGTGTGTGTGTTTACTTCTCTGTCGGCTTTCTTTGCTTAGCCTAGAGCCTTGTCGCAACGGCCGCGGAGAGACTGTGTGCCCTAATTTGTTTACCAGTGGCGGTGTTTGCTGTCCCCTGTTCAAAGTTTCGCCCCCTCTGTGTCTTTGAAGAACTTGCTGGGATGTTTGTTGAAGCTTCTTCAGTTCCAAACGAAAAAATATATATATATTTTTTTCATATATAGATCATTATAGATCTATATAAGTATATCGTTCAGTACTCTTGCAGTCAGTTTCCTCCGGTCTCTCTTAAGCGAGCTGAGACAAACTAGCCAGGCCACCCGCAAACTTGCCGGGGTCGCCCCAGAGCACCTGTCACCATGTTTCAGCAGTCACGCGGTCAGTTTTCAGCAGTCATGCTAACGCAGTGCTGTTGCAGTCGCGTCGGTTCTGTACTCTTGCAGTCAGTTCCCTCCTGTCTCTCTTAAGCGAGCTTCGACAAACTAGCCGGGCCACCCGAAAACTTGCCGGAGTCGCCCCCAGAGGACCTGTCACCATGTTTCAGCAGTCACGCGATCAGTTTTCAGCAGTCATCCTAATGCAGTGCTGCTGCAGTCGCGTCAGTTCTGTACTCTGGCAGTCAGTTCCCTCCAGTCTCTCTTAAGCGAGCCGTTACGCATCGCAAACATGTCGGAGAAACGAGCTATTGCGGGCTCCAAACATGCTGGC